GGCTTCCATAAGTTCTAGATTACAGGCAGTGAGCCACTTGTGCCTGCCTAACCAGACATTATTAATAGCCCAAAGTAAAACAATCCAAATATTCATCAACTAATAACATGGATACATGATATATCCAATCCAATGATGGATATATTTGGCGAATAAAAAAGCCAGTGAAGCCCAGGTGCAGTGGCTTATACCTGCAATCCAGCACTTGGGAAGCCGAGCAGATGGATTACTTGAGGTCATGAGTTCGAGATCAGCCTGACCAACATGGCGAAACGCATCTCTACTACAAATACAAAAATCAGCCAGGTTGGGGGTGCACACACCTGTGGTCCAGCTACTTGGGAGCTGAGGCATGAGAATGATTGAACCTGGGAGGTTGGGGTTGTAGTGAGCCAAGATTGCACCACTGCCTCCAGCCTGGGTGGCAAAAGCGGGACTGAGTGTGCCAAAAGAAAAAAAAAATTCACATATACTTATGATTTATTTATATAAGGTGGTCCAGGCCAGGTTGGTGGCTCACGCCTGTAATCCCAGCACTTTGTAGGTCAAAGCGGCGCTATCATCTGAGGTCAGTTCAAGACCAAACCTGGTTAACATTGGAATTCTCCCGCTCCACACAAAATATAAAAATTAGACCGGGCGTGGTGACAGGCGCCTGTAATCCCAGCTATCTGGGAGGCTAAAGCACTCAGGCAGGAGAATTGCTTGGACACAGGAGGTGGAGGTTGCAGTGAGCCGAGATCCACTGCACTGCAGCCTGGGAGTGAGACTTTCGTCTAAAAAAAGGTGTCCAAACCAGGCAAAATCCATCTTTCTTGGCTGCTACGGGCTTGGGGGGACTATGAGTTGTGGGGAAAAGAGAGATCAGACTGTTACTGTGTGTCTTTATATAGAAAGAAGGTAGACATAAGAGACTCCATGTATTTGAGATGGCCGTTGATCTGTGACCCTACCACCCAACTTTGTCCTTGCAGAGGAACAGTGCTGTGGAGACTCAAGTTAAACGGATTTTGGCTTTCAAGGGTGTGCTTTGTTAAACAAGCGCCTTGAAGCGGCATTATGCTAGAGAAAAGTCATCACCACTCTCTTAACTCAAGTACCCAGGGAACATACACGCCAAAAAGGGCGGGCAGGGACCTGCTGCCTAGGAAAAGCTAGGTATTGGTCCAAGGCTTTTCCCCATGTGAAGTCTGAAATATGGCCTCGTGGGCAAGGGGAAAGACCTGAATCGTTCCCCCAGCTTGACACCCGTGGAAGGGTTAGTAAACCCAATTGCATGTTGTTTACTGAGAAAGGAGAAAATCGCCTTGGGGCTGAAGGTGGGATGTGCAAGCGGCAATGCTGCTCTTTATGCACTAAAAAGGTTTATGGAGATGTTTGCATATGCATATCAAGGCACAGCACTTTTCCTTAAACTTATTCATGTCACAGAGATCTTTATTCATATGTCTTACTGCTGACCTTCTCCCTCCGATGATCCTATTATCCTGCCACTTCCCTTTTTCTAAGATGGTAAAGATCAATAAATACTGAGGGAACTCAGACCGGTGCCAGCGTGGGTCCTCTGTATGCTGGGCAACGGTCCCCTGGGCCCACTTTTTCTTTCTCTATACTTTGTCTCTGTGTCTCATTTCTTTTCTCAAGTCTCTTGGTTCCACCTAACGAGAAACGCCCACAGGTGTGGAGGGGCAGGCCACCCCTTCAATTAGAAAAATAGGAAATGATGGGTACAGGGTTTCTTTTTCAGATGAGGAAAATGTTCTCAAATTGACTGTGGTTGATGGTTGCACAACTGTAAATACACTGAAGACTGAACTGCACACTTAAAACTTCCAAAATAACATGTTTCAAATCTTTATATATTTAAGAGAAAACTTGTTCTTGTATAGAATAAACTCTACTTCTACTGCATGACAGAATACCTGTGTCCAATGGCATAATCTTAAAATACAGGAACCACTTTCACAGGAGCAAAATTTACTCTTAGCACCTACTATGCACAAATCACTATGATAGGTACTGCAGAGGATGGGACAGTCTTACCTTCAAAGAACTTGTGATCTGACCCCAGTGAAAAAAAATACATACAATTGTGTGATCCTTTCTGATGCCACTTCTAATGGCAAATGTGGGGTGCCTTTTCTCATGACACCAGCTGGGTGTACGACTCAATCCTATTCTGACACTACCTGAAGTTAGCTTTGGGAGACCGTCCTTACTTCAGGAGCCAGTTTCAAGTCGTTGGTCCCAGGCTACCTGCACACTTCTATCCCACTTGACTACAAATTTTAGGGTTCCCACTACTGCCTCCTCAGGTCTGATAATTTGATGCAATGACTCACAGAACCAAAGAAAGCTTTTTACTATTACTGTTTTTTTTTTTTTTTTTAAATAAAGGATGCAGCTGAGGAACCACATGGAAGAGATGCATAGGGCAAGGTGGGGAGGGGTTGCAGAGTTTCCATGAAGTCTCTGGGCATGCTACCCTCCCAGTCTGTCAATGAGTTGTTCATCAACCAGGAAGCACATCAAATTAAGAGCTTTTACAGAGTTCAATCTCTAGCCCTGCGACCCCAAGGCTGGTGAGTGGGCTGACAAGTTTTAACCCTCAAATCAAGTAACTGGCCTTTCTGACTAAAGTCACTATGAGGCTATCTAGCGGCCCCACTAAAGTCACCTCACAGTAGAACAAACTCAGGTGTGGTCCAAAGTGGATCACCAGGAACGACAAAGATACTTCTAGCACTCTGCAAACTCCAAGTGTTTTTGGGGAGCTCTGTGCCAAGAACTGGGACAAAGACCAACACTTACTTACTCTATTACAATACTAAAATCACCAAATAAAGTAACAACCTGGAATGGAGGTGATGGCCTCGCAGGGATCTAGTTTAATCTTGAGCTCTTCAGTTTTTGTTTTTTTTTTTTGAGACAGGGTCTTGCTCTGTCACCCAGGCTGGAGTGCAGCGGTGCCATCTTAGCTCATAGCAATCTCTGCCTCCTGGGATCATGCCATCCTCCCACTTCAGCCTCCCAAGGAGCTGGGACTACAGGTACATGTCACCATGCCCACTTATTAAGTTTTTGCATTAATATTGAAGGGATTTATTAAAAAGAGTGAGGTGAATTTTCTGTTCTCAAGTTACATATCTTTTTCATAAAAGAATTACAGTACAGAAAGGTATAAAGAAACCAAGAACAAGGTACCAACCACATTTTAGCAAACACCTTTTTTTTTGAGACGGAGTTTTGCTCTTGTTGCCCAAGTTGGAGTGCTACGGTGCCATCTTGGCTCACTGAAACCTCTGCCTCCTGGGTTCAAGCAAGTCTCCTGCCTCAGCCTCCCAAGTAGCTGGGATTACAGGCGCCCATCACCATGCCTGGCTAATTTTTGTATTTATTTTTTAGTAGAGACAGGGTTTCACTATGTTGGCCAGGCTGGTCTCAAACTCCTGACCTCAGGTGATCTGCCCACCTTGGCCTCCCAAAGTGTTGGTATTACAGGCATGAGCCACCACACCTGCTAGCAATCAGCTTTCTAAATATAGACTAGATACACAAAATTTTAATATGAAGAATACCATTATGCTATTCTTCAGTCTGCTCTTCCCCTACTTAACAGCACGTCATGAATATCTTATAAGCCTAACTGTACTTCTTTCTTTTTTTCCCTTAGAGACCGGGTCTCACTATGTCACCCAAGCTGGAGTGCAGTGGTGTGATCACAGCTCACTGTAGCCTCAAACTCCTGGGCTCAAGGGATCCTTCTATCACAGCCTCCCAAAGAGCAGGGACTAAAGGCACATGCCACCATGTCTCATAGCAGCCTCCATCCCCTGGATTCAAGGTATCCTCCTGCCTCGGCCTCCCAAGTAGCTGGGATCACAGGCACGTGCCACCAAGCCTGGCTAATTTTTTTTTTTCGGTAGAGACAGGGTCTCACTTTATATTGCCAAGGCTAGTCTAGAACTTCTGGGCTCAAGTGATCCTCCGTATTTGCATTACAGGTGTGAGCCACTGAGCACAGCCCCTAATCATACTTCTTTTTGATAAGTAATATTTTACAAAGTATGGATGTTGTGATGGTATTTGGAGGTAAAAGAAAAAGTATGGATGTAGTACAATCTGTTAATCTGGCAGGTCACAAACTTATTTTATTTCTGTCTTCAATAGTGCTATTTCGTCAGGCGTGGTGGCTCACGCCTATATTTCCAACACTTTGGGAGGCTGAGGCAGGTGGATCACCTGAGGTCGGGAGTTGAAGTCCAGTCTGACCAACATGGAGAAACCCAATCTCTCCTTAAAAAAAAAAAAAAATTAGCCAGGCGTGGTAGTGCATGCCTGTAATCCCAGTTACTCAGGAGGCTGAGGCAGGAGAATCGCTTGAACCCAGGAAGCAGAGGTTGCAGTGAGCCAAGATCGCACCATTGCACTCCAGGCTGGATAACAACAAAACTGGCCGGGCGTGGTGGCTCAAGCCTGTAATCCCAGCACTTTGGGAGGCTGAGACGGGCGGATCACGAGGTCAGGAGATCTAGACTATCCTGGCTAACACGGTGAAACCCTGTCTCTTCTAAAAATAAAAAAAAAAAAAAAAAAAAAACAACTAGCCGGGCGAGGTGGCGGGTGCCTGTAGTCTCAGCTACTCGGGAGGCTGAGGCAGGAGAATGGCGTAAACCCGGGAAGCAGAGCTTGCAGTGAGCTGAGATCCGGCCACTGCACTCCAGCCCGGGCGACAGAGCGAGACTCTGTCTCAAAACAACAACAACAACAAAACTGTCTCAAAAATAAAAAGGTTGGACACAGTGACTCATGCCTGTAATCGAGTACTTTGGGAGGCCAAAGAGGGTGGATCATGAGGTCAGAAGTTCAAGACCACCCTGACCAACATGGTGAAACCCCATCTCTACTAAATACAAAAAATTAGCCAGGCATAGTGGTGCACACCTGTAATCCCAGCTACTCAGCAGGCTGAGGCAGGAGAACTGCTTGAACCCGGGAGGCAGAGGTTGCAATGAGCTGAGATCGCTCCACTTCACTCCAGCCTGGGCGAGGGAGTGAGACTCCACTTAGGGAAAAAAAATTTAAAAAATAAAAAATAAGAAAAAATAGTGCTATTGCAGTTTAAGAAAGTACTGTTGAAAACATCCTCCCTCTCCTCATAACGAGTCAAGAACTATTCCCTGGTACTAGATCTAGTCTGAGAGACAGCAAAACTTTCTTCTGAATTCTTTTCATTTACCAGATGACCATCAAGCTACGTTAATTCTTAAAAAACAAACAAACAAAAAAGAAGTGGGCCAGCCTCAAGCCTGTAATCCCAGCACTCTGGGAGGTGGGCAAATCGCTTGAACTCACAAGTTCACGACCAGACTGGCCAACATGGCAAACCCCATCTGTACAAAAAAATTTAAAAAATTAACCAGGCCTGGTAATGCACACCTGTGGTCCCAGTTACTAGGGAGGCTGAGGTAGGAGGATATCTTGAGCCTGGGAATAGGAGGCTGCAGTGAGTTGTAATCGCACCACTGCACTCTGCCTGAACAACAGAGCAAGAAATTGTCTTCCACCTCCAAATTCTGGCAAACTCCATACAACATAAAATTTATTAGCTTAGCCATTTTATGTATACAGTTCAGTGGCATTAAGCACACTTACACTGTATTAACCATAACCACCATCTCCAGAATATAACTTTTTTTTTTTTTTAATTGAGATGGAGTCTCGCTCTGTTGCCCAGGCTGGAGTGCAGTGGTGCGATCTCGGCTCACTGCAAGCTCTGCCTCCCGGGTTCATGCCATTCTCCTGCCTCAGCCTCCTGAGTAGCTGGGACTACAGGCACCTGCCACCACACCTGGCTAGTTTTTTTTTTTTTTTTGTATTTTTAGAAGAGACAGGGTTTTACCATGTTAGCCAGGATGGTCTTGATCTCCTGACATCACGATCCACCCGCCTCAGCCTCCCAAAGTGCTGGGATTATAGGCATGAGTCACCGCGCCCGGCCGAATATAACTATTTTTTAACTATTAATGTATGAGACACCACAGTTATTTTTATTAAATTGAAGTGCTTTGAAAATTTAAGAGGCTGGGCATGGTGGCTCATGCCTGTAATCCCAGCACTTTGGGAGGCCGAGGCAGGCAGATCATAAGGTCAAGAGTTCGAGACCAACCTGGCCACCACAGTGAAACCCTGTCTCTACTGAAAATAAAAAAATTAGCTGGGCATGGTGGTGCACATCTGTAGTCCCAGCTACTCAGAAGGCTGAGGCAGGAGAAACGCTTGAAACTGGGAGATGGAAGTTACAGTGAGCTGAGACTGCATCACTGCACTCCAGCCTGGGTGGAAAAGTGAAAGAACATCTCAAAAAAAAAAAAAAAAAAAAAGAAGAAGAAGAAAATAAAATTTAAGGAGGGTGTTCACATTCTTTCATTCTTTGAGGTAGAGACAGGGAACATTTTTGAAATCTAGATAGGTTTCATGGAGAAACAGTATTTGATGTTGTGAGGTGATACACCTCCTTTGGGTATGTAAATTTGTACTTCTAAGATGATGAGGCGAAGACGGGAGAAACACCGCAGATAGATGGTATGAAATCTGGAAGTGAACTACAACTAGAGGTAAACAGACATGGAAAATTTTGAGTTTTCAAGTCTGGTTAGCTGGGAAAATGTTGGAGCCATACAAAAAAAAAAAAAAAAAAAGAGGAGGAAAGGAGAAAGGAGAAGTGGGAGAGAGGGTCAGTTTTGTTTTGTTTAGCTGAGTTTAAAATACCAGTAGTATAACCAAAATGGTCAAGAACAGGCAGCTGAAAACGATAATGTATAGACAAGTCTTAAAATCACACCTGGGAGTAAAATGAACAGAGATGGTAGCCGTAATCATAAAATATATAAATGTAAATTGATTCTGTGTCTTATTTATCTCACCTCCCCAAAATAAATGACCAAACCCTTACCATTTGCCACACTTGCATGATATTGTCTTCTGATACAGAACAAATCACCCAAGGTTCATTGGGATTCCAGGAGAAATCAGATATCTTGGCAGTGTGACCACCATGAATAAACTGAAAGAGGGAAGAAAACAAAGATGTGAAATGCAGATAGAGGACATTAAATTACAGACTACTTCAGTACTGTCCAATGCTTTTAACATACCAACAACTCTGGTGGCCCGTCTTCTGCATCTTCCGGGGATTGTTCTTCTCCAATTTTACTAGTACAAAAGCATAATTTTAAAAGTTAAAATAGATTTACCCCTAGTGACTACCTTTGCAAAGTGTAAATAAAGGAAATAAGTACGCAGACAGAGGAATGAACACAAGAATTACCTTAAATCCCAGACATTCAGTCTGCGATCAGTACCACTGGAAGCCAAAATAGTCTCATTGTGAGGTGACCACTGAACCTACACATAGGAATGAAGAAAACAGCAAAGCCATGAATTAGAAAACAAAGGGAAAAAATTCATAAAATATTTAACAATTTAAAAATTCTGTTAACAAAAGGGAAGAGGAAGTCAAAGTATTATAAATGCTACAGTTAAAATTAAGAGCTAAAGAATTTCTTTTACAGGCAGGAGTGGTGGCTCATGTCTGTAATCCCAGCACTTTGGGAGGTGGGTGGATCACATGAGGTGAGGAGTTCCAGACCAGCCTGACCAACATGGTGAAACCCTGTCTCTACTAAAAATACAAAAATTAGCTAGGTGTGGTGGCGGGCGCCTATAATCCCAGCTACTTGGGAAGCTGAGGCAGGAGAATTGCTTGAACCCAGGAGGCAGAGGTTGTAGTGAGCCGAGATCGTGCCACTGCACTCCAGCCTGGGTGACAGAGACTCTGTCTCAAAAAAAAAAAAAAAAAAAAAAAATTTCTTGTACGATAACAACCCATTACTAGACATTACTAGACCCAGGATATAAGCTTTTGTTCCATTCCCACACCACCCCCTTGCACACTTTTTTTTTGAGATGAAGTCTTGCTCTGTCACCCAGGCTGGAGTACAATGGCAGGATCTTGGTTCAATGCAACCTCCACCTCCCAGGTTCAAGTGACTCTCCCACCTCAGCCTCCCAGGTAGCTGGGATTACAGGTGCCTGCCACCACAGCCAGCAAATTTTTGTATCTGTGTAGAGATGGGGTTAGGCTGGTATCAAAAAAAGAGATGAGGCCTCACTATGTTGCTTCTAGGCTGTACTTGAACTCTTGGGCTCAAGGAACTTGCTGCCTCAACCTCCTTCGTAGTTGGAGTTGTGCACCATGTGCCCAGCATAATCTTATCTTTGGAAACATCAAATCTTGTCTATTCTTGTGGGGTGATCTCAGCTCCCAGCAATCTCTGCCTCCCATGTTCAAGCAATTCTCCTGCCTCAGCCTCCTGAGTAGCTGAGGTTACAGGCGCACAGTACCACGCCTGGCTAATTTTTGTATTTTTAGTAGAGACGAGATTTCACCATGTTGGTCAGGGTGGTCTCAAACTCCTGACCTTGTGATCCACCTGCCTAGGCCTCCCAAAGTGCTGGGATTACAGGCATGAGCCATTGCACCCAGCCTACCTACTGTCTATTCTTATTGGCTAATTCTGGCCTCTACCCAAATGCAATCCAATTCTGACCTAAGAACTAAAGTACAGATGACATATACAATAACTATGTTCCTAAGTATTTACTATGAGTTCAGTGTTACACATAAGTCAGAACACCATCACAAGCAAAGCAAAGAGATAGGGTAAGGATAAAATGTTCACCAAGGCGGGCTGAAAAGTAGAAAATAGGAGACTAAGTATATAGGAGTATGGTTCACCTAAAGCCCAGTTCAGATGCCACCTTCACACACCAGAATTAATCTTTACCACCCTCAGGTTCATAACACTTGACAAAATCTTTTATTATAGTAATTTCTAAACAAGCCCTCCCCCTCACTATAAAATTTTGGCTCGGTTGGGCGTGGTAGCTTATGCCTGTAATCCCAGCACTTTGGGAGGCCAAGGCAGGTGGATCATGGAGACCAGACTGGCCAACATGGTGAAACCCCATCTCTACTAAAAACACAAAAAATTAGTTGGGCATGGTGGCGGGCGCCTGAAATTCCAGCTACCCAGGAGGCTGAGGCAGGAGAATCACTTGAACCTGGGAGGTGAAGGTTGCAGTGAGCCGAGATTGCACCACTACAGTCCAGCCTGGCCAATAAGAGCAAAACTCCATCCCCCTAGAAAAGGGGAGCTCCTTGACAGCAAAGGCTACATAATGTAATCTCTCATAGTGCCCTAGCAACAAGCTTTGAACACAGTGCAACAATTATTTCTTTTTTTAATTTTTGCAATCAGACCTTGGCGATGACCTTGAGCAGTAGGATATAAACTCCCACATGCTTAGTGTTCCAATAATGGAACACTAGGCATAAATGGTTTTAAACTGATGAGGCAGAAAATATGGAGCCAGAGGTTTAGGCTTGGATTGAAAAATCAACATATGTGGTATGCAATGAAGAATAAAGAATATATTGGAAGAAGGGAAGAGATCACTAAGTGTCAGAAAGAAGGCTGAAAAAATAATCAGGCACTAGTTTTCCTTTCTTTGTAAATTTTTATTAAAAAATAAAGAGACAGGGTTTTGCCATGTTGGCTAGGCTGGTCTCAAACTCCTGGCCTCAAGTAACCCACCCATCTCAGCCTCCTAAAGTGCTGGGATTACAGGTATGAATCATCACACCTGGCCTAGTTTTCTTAATATCTGATGAATGTAGGTGGTCAATAACCAGTTTGAGAAAGTATAGAGATAACAAAGAAATAACAATTCCCACAGAAAGTAGCATAGGAATATAGATTTCTATTTTTAGCAACAGCATAAAGCACATGTGTGCCCACTCATACATCCAGGTTTTTCTTAGAAATAACAAAAACAAAATTAGTAGCACTGGTTTCTCTTACCTGGAATATTTCATCCTTATGTGACTCAAAGGAATGCAACTTAAGTTTCAGATTTCTCAGATCCCACAAGGCAACAGTCTAGGTACAAAAAGAAAAACAAGAGTAATTCATTTTTTAAGATAAGAAAAAAAAAATACTGTAAGTAAAATTTCTGCAATTCAAAAAAAGCTAGAGAAATTAAATTGTTTTCTATTAAAATAAATGAAACTGACCTTGTCAGCTGATCCTGTGGCAAGAATGAACTCACTATAAGGATTGAAAGAAAGGCAGTTCACTTCAGCAGTGTGAGCGTCGACTGAGTGGCTTGGTTTGGAAGTATTGTTTGAACGAGTATCCCAACTTCAGTGGAAAAAAAAAAAAAAGAGGAAAAAAATCCTTGAAATGGTAACTAAACATAAAACTTAGACAAGATATTAAGTAAAAACCCTGAATGGATTCTACTCACATCATAAGTTTCTGATCATCAGCAACTGACCCAAACAGAGACTCATGGAGCAGATGCCAGGAAACATCTTCTACTACTGCCGTATGCCCTGTAAAGATGGTCTTTGCATCCACCACTTTTCCCTCCTTTGGAACGGCACTGATGTCCCACAGGCAGATGGTCTTAAATGTAAAATTAAACCATTATATAAATGGAAGATTCTCACCTCCCCACACACCCCAAAAAAGAAACCAACTGGTAACTAGCCCAGATTTGCTTCAAAATGGGAAGGATACGCACGTGGTCATCTGAAGCACTAAGTAAGTGCCCACTGAGATTTGGGTTCCAAGAAAGCCCATAGCCTTCCTTTTGATGTCCACGGAGACGCAAGTCTGGGTTGCACTCTCCAGAAGGATCTGCAAAGTGACAGACACATCAAGACTACCCAGTCCACTGGTTCTCTGGGCCTACTGAGCATAATGGAATTTTAATCAAGATGTCTAAAAGCTCTTAACATTTATCAATGATATAGGAACCATTATCACCAAACAGATAATGCTTAAACAGCACCAGTATTTTGTTCTATGTAAAAAGGCATTATTTTTTCATGTAGGCAAAATGAAGAAAAACATACACACATCAATACAAGTCACAAGATGTTAAAATTACACAGAGTAACATGCAATTAAACTCAGAGTGAGTGGAACCATGTGTTCCCATAGTGACTCATTTGTATTTGAATAGAAAGGGGCACGTACCTGGTTTAGAAGGATGTTTTGTATAGTCAAAGACAAGAACATCACTGGAAGGAGTCTTTGTTGCGATGATACAAGGGTTCTGGGGCATATAACGGGCCCTGTTTACTTCTCCTTCATGGTTGATCTTGATTTCTATTTCAATTTTTCCACTAACTGAACCAAAACCTCCAAATTCTGTAAATAAATTAATTGCAAATGAGGACAAAACAAGAGCTACTCTAGGGTACTCAGAGTATAAAAACACAGGCAAGGATTTTTTTCCCTTAGGAACAAACTGGCATAATACTAGATATTATCTATACATTTGCTAGCACTATAAAGTGCTTTCCTACCCCTGTGATTCCAGGTAGTTAAATACCTAATAAGAAATACAGTCAGCCCTCCATATCAGTGGGTTCTTCATCCATGAATTCAACTAATCATTAAGTGAAAATATTCAGAAAAACAATGCATATATTGAACACATACAGATTTCCCCCTCATCATTATTCCCTGAACAATACAGCCTATTTATATAACATTTACATTGTATTCGGTATTATAGGTAATCTAGAGACATTTTAAAGTATGTGAGAAGATCTGCATAGGTTATGTGCAAACATTATGCCATGCTGTATCAGAAACTTCAGCATCTGTGAATTTTGGTATCTGAAGGTGGTCTTGGAAACAATTCCCCACGGATTCTGAGAGATGGCTGTATTATATTACTGTCTGAAATTAAGGAAAACTAGAATTCTACTGATGTAGGGTCCAGCCCTACAGGGCTTAGCGGGTATTCTCCCCGTGTGCGGAGACAAGAGATTGTAAGAAATAAAGACACAAGACAAAAGAGATAAAGAGAAAACAGTTGGGCCTGGAGAACCACTACCACCAAGACCTGGAGATCGGTAGTGGCCCCGAATGGCTAAATGCGCTGATAATTTATTGCATACAAGACAAGGGGGCAGGGTAAGGAGGGTGAGTCGTCCAAGTGATTGATAAGGTCAAGCAAGTCACGTTATCACGAGACAGGGGACCCTTCACTTTTAGGTAGCTGAATCTGAGGGAAGGCAGCATACCTCACCGTTTCCTTCTATGCACTTATCAGAAAGATCAGACTTTAAGACTTTCCTATTTCTTCTACTGCTATTTTCTAAGAACCTCAAAGAGGAATCAGGAGTAAGGGAGGAACATGAAAGTGGACAAGGAGCGTGACCACCGAAGCATAGCACCACAGGGAGGGGTTTAGGCCTCTGGATGACTGCAGGCAGGCCTGGATAATATCCAGCCTCCCACAAGAAGCTGGTGGAGCAGAGTGTTCCCTGACTCCTCCAAGGAAAGGGAGGCTCCCTTTCACGGTCTGCTAAGTATTGGGTGCCTTCCTAGGCACTGGCGTTACCACTTGACCAAGGAGCCCTCAAGCGGCCCTTATGTGGGCCTGACAGAGGGCTCACCTCTTGCCTTCTAGCTCACTTCTCAAAATGTCCCTTCAGCAACTGACCCTAGACCCACCAGTTATTCCTTGGTTATATTAGTAATACAACAAGGAGTAATATTAAAAGTTGATGATTAATAATGATTATACCAATGACTGATAATGTCCAAGATCATCTCTATATCTACTTTGTATTATAACTATTCTTTATTTTAACTATTTTCTTTATTATACTGAAACAGTTTGTGCCTTCAGTCACTTGTCTTGGCACCTGGGTTATCCTTTGCCCACATACTTCAAAAACAGATCTTAATAAAGTTTTCAAATTTCAAAGTACAAATAAGTATGCCGAATAAATAAAACCAATGCTACTACTATAATGAATATTAAGTACACAATGTGCTAAACACTAAAGTGCTCTTCTTGCATCGCTTGTCTGAAGCTCTAGTTTGGGATGAATGTTCTGAAATACCATCATGCCGTTTATCTTCTCCTTACAGTGTTTCTTTTACTTCAGTGAGGAAAAACAGAGCCACAGCAGCCAGTTCCATTTTGCTACACCCACTTACACACGCCAACCAAAGTCCCTGGTTGAAATAAACCAGGTAGGCAACAACTAGATGAAAACATTTTTTATTCACACATGACTACTATATGCACTTAGAGAGTTCTCTCAAGTACCATTATAATATGTATAACAATATAATGTGTGATTATGTAAATCTTGGCAAAGCAATATATAAACAAAGGTAGTTAATGATCAAAGAGTAATAGAAGGCAGCATGATATGGTTGCAAAAGTTCCAAAGTAAGAGTCAGACCCAGGTCCCTAAGTGGCTCTGTCACTTACTTAGTTTGGTGATCCAGGGAAGGCCTTCAGTTTCTGAGCCACAAATACCTTACCCACAAAGCAAAGAAGTTGTGAGAGTAACTTAAAAATAAATAAAAATATTCTGTCAATCGCATTGCTATGCGGTGCTATTCTTTTTCTCTTTTTTTTTTTTTTTTTTTAGACAGGGTCTTGCTCTGTCATCCAGACTGGAGTGCAGTGGCGCAATCTCGGCTCACTGCAACCTCTGCCTCCTGGGTTCAAGCGATTCTCCTGCCTCAGCCCCCCAAGTAGCTGGGACTGCCGCCATGTGCCACCACGCCCAGGTAATTTTTATATTTTTAGTAGAGATGGGGTTTCATCACGGTAGCCAAACTGGACTTAAACTCTTGACCTCAGATAATCTACCCGCTTCATTCTCCCAAAGTGCTGGGATTACATGAGAGAGCCACTGGGCCGGGCCTAGTGTTATTCTTTGAAGGACAAACATCTTTTCAGAAAGCAAAGACATACATGGGTGGTATGGCTGGCATATTAGATAACTTTCAACTTCAAAATAACTTTTGAAAAGCAAACGTTTCACACAGGCTAAAAACCTAAAAATAAAAATTCAAGATAGATTCTAAAGGAGAAAAAAATCCCACATTAAACTAATTTTTCCCATAACTCTAGCCCACAAGCATCTACAATCTATGAAAAAACAAGGCATATATGGTATGTATCTCAAGAAACTTCAGTCTAAGTACAGGCACAGCTCGTTTTATTGTGCATCACAGATATGTTTTTTCCCCAATTGAAGGTTACAGCAACCCTGCATTGAGTAAGTCTATTAGTGCCATTTTCCCAACATGTGTTCAGTTGGTGCCTCTGGGTCAGCATTTTTTTTTTTTTAGCAATGAAGTATTTCCAAATTAAGGTATGTACATTGTTTTTTAGGCATAATGCTATTGCACGCTTAGGAGACTACAGTAAAATGTAAACATACAAAAAATCTGTTGGTTTGCTTTATATATTTGCTTTACTGCAGTGATTTGGAACTGAATCCTCATCGTATCTTCAATGACACCCCCCCCCCAAAAAAGTGGCTGGGCATAGTGGCTCATATCTGTAATCCCAGCACTTTGGGAGGCCAAGATGGGTGGATCACGAGGTCAGGAGTTCGAGACCAGCATGGCCAATATGGCAAAACCCCTTCTCTACTAAAAATACAAAAATTAGCTGGGCGTGGTGGCACGTGCCTATAGTCCCAGCTGCTCTGGAGGCTGAGGCAGGAGAATCGCTTGAACTCAGGAGGCAGAGGTTGCACTGAGCCAAGATTGCGCCACTACGCTACAGTTTGGGCGACAGAGAGAAACTCTGTCTCAGAAAAAACAAACAAACAAACAAACAAAAAACGATAGCTGCCAGCAAAGAGGCACCAATAACAAAGGAGAAGCCACAGCTGGCACAGAGCCCATGAAGCAAGGGGTAACCACTACATAACATTGGTTATTTCAGTATTGGGCATATATTAAACATAGGACTCCTTCACCATAAACAAAACTACAGTAGTAAGAACTTAGTGTATTCAAAATTGAAAACTGGGCTGGCCCAATGTTACTGGGTTATCAGAACTTATTACATCAGTGTTACCAAAGTTGCATACACCCCTCAATGTTAAATTTGACAGGGTTCAGGAGATCAAGACTATCCTGGCTAACACAGTGAAACCCCATCTCTACTAAAAATACAAAAACAATTAGCTGGGCATGGTGGCAGGCACCTGTAGTCCCAGCTACTCAGGAGGTTGAGGCAGAATGGCGTGAACCCAGGAGGTGGAGCTTGCAGTAAGCCGAGATCGCGCCACTGTACTCCAGCCTGAGCGACAGAGCTAGACTCCGTTTCCAAAAAAAAAAAAAAAGTTAAATAAAAAATAAAAAATTGACAGGATTAGAAAAATAAATGTAAATTGCATTTAAAAAACACTTCAGGGGCTGACTGTGGTGGCACATGACTATAATCCTAACTGCTTGGGAGGCTGAGAATGCAGTAAAAGCTGTGATCACACCACTGCATTCCAGCCTGAGCAACAGAGTGAGACCTCTGTCTGAAAAAACACATATAGTAATATAAATAAATAGGTGTTGAAACTGGTATGTGAAAAGGCCAATCTGAAGTAGAAAAGAAAGGCTGAGGTATCAACTTGCCTTCCTATTTTGCTGGCTTCTCTCCATATAAACAATATTAAAACAAACATGAGGTATAACATGATATAGTAAAGGTGCACAAGTTGTTGTAGTTTGATGAATTTTTACATATGTACGCACCAGGTCAAAATATAAAACATTCCCATCCCAGAAGGTACGAACGGTGTCTTCCCAGTCAATACTATGTCCTCAAACAAGGTAACTACCATATGAATTTTACCATTGAGCCACTTTTTGAGCCCAGGAACCTTACAACTAAGAATACCAGCTTCAGTAAAATATATAATAATTTATTATAAACTTGGACTAAAGACCAGAGACATCACTTACTTATTTTTATTTTTTCTGAGAAGGAGTCTTGCTCATTAACCAGGCTGGAGTGCAGTAGTAGCGCAATCTCGGCTCACTGCAACCTCCGCCTCCCGGGTTCAAGCCATTCTACTGCCTCAGCCTTCCAAGTAGCTGGGACTACAGGCACGTACCACCACATCCAGCTAATTTTTTGTAATTTTAGTAGAGATGGGGTTTTACCATGTTGGCCAGGCTTGTCTTGAACTCCTGACCTCGTGATCCACATGCCTCAGCCTCCCAAAGTGCTGGAATTACAGATGCCAGCCACTGCGCCTGGGCGAGATACCAGTTTCTTAAAAAACAAAACTAGGCTGGGCATGGTGGCTCACGCCTATAATCCCAGCACTCTGGGAGGCTGACGCGGGTAGATCATGAGGTCAGGAGTTTGACACCAACCTGGCCAATATAGTGAAACCCCATCCCTACAAAAAATACAAAATAAGCCGGGCACGGTGGTGCACGCCTGTAATCCCAGCTACTCAGGAGGATGAGGCAGGAGAATCGCTTGAACCCAGGGGGCAGAGGTTGCCGTGAGCCAAGATCGCCACACTGCACTCCAGCCTGGGCGACAGAGCAAGACTATCTCAAAAAAAAAAAAAAAAAAAAAAAAAAAGAAAGAAAGATAAAAAGTGGGCAAAGGACATGAACAGACACTTCTCAAAAGAAGACATATAAGTGGACAATGAATGTGGAAAAAAAGATCAACATCACCATTTATCAGAGAAATGCAAATCAAAACAGATAGATGCCTCTCACACCAGTCAGAATGGCTATTAAAAAGTCAAAAAATAACATGGTGAGGCTGCAGAGAAAAGGCAACACTTAGACACTACTGGTGGGAATGCAAATTAGTTCAGCAACTGTGAAAAGCAGTCTGTGGAGATTTCTCAAAGAACTAAAAATAGGGCCAGGCATGGTGGCTCACGCCTATAATCCCAGCACTTTGGGAGGCTGACACAGGTGGACCACCTGAGGTTGGGAGTTTGAGACCAGCCTGACCAATATGGAGAAACCCCGTCTCTACTAAAAATACAAAATTAGCCGGGTGTGGTGGGGCATGCCTGTAATCCCAGATACTCGGGGAGCTGAGGCAGAAGAACTGCTTGAACTTCGGAGGCGGAGACTGCAGTGAGCCGAGATCACGCCACTTACTTTACTCCAGCAACAAGAGTGAAACTCCGTCCCAAAAACAAAAAAAAACACAAAAAAACAACAAAGAACTAAAAATAGAACTACCATTCAACCCAGCAATCCCATTACTGGGTATATACCCAAAATAAAAGAAATCGTTCTACCAAAAAGACACATGCACTTGTTATGTTCACTGTAGCATTATACACAATAGCAAAGATACGGAATCAACCCAAGTGTCCATCAATGGTTGACTGAATACAAAAAATTTTTTTGGCTTAGTGGCTCAGGCCTATAAGCCCAGAACTTCGGGAGGCCAAAGTGGGTGAACTGCATGAGCCAAGGAGTTTTCAGACTAGCCTGGGCAATGTGGTGAGACCCACTCCTCCACAAAAAATATAATGGAAATCGGCTGGGCATGGTGGCGCATGCCTGCAATCCCAGCTACTCAGGATGCTGAGGCAGGAGGATTGCTTGAGCCCAAGAAGCAGAGGCTGCAGTGAGCCGAGACTGTGCGACTGCACTCCAGCCTGCGTGACGAAGCAAGACTCCGCCTCAAAATAACAACAAAAACTCAATCATTTAGGAAAAAAAGGCTGGATTCTGATTCCATACCAAATACCAGAACAATAAGTTTTAATGGCCCAAACATAAAAGTCCCAGAAGACAACAATAGATGAATACATACTTTATGAAATCATTGAATGGGGAGGTCTGAGGTGGAAAGATTGAGGTCAGAGTTGAAGATCAGCCTGAGCAACATAGTGACACGCCATTTCTTAAAAAAAAATTAAATTATCTGGATGTAGTGGCGGGTGCCTGTAATTCCAGCTACTTGGGAGGCTGAGGCAGGAGAATAGCTTGAATCCGGGTGGCGGTGGTCACAGTGAGCAGAGATTGCGCCACTGTACTACAGCCTGGGCGGCAGAGCCAGACTCCGACTCAAAAAAAAAAAATAAAAAATAAAAATAAAAAATCCAGGTATGGTGGTGTACATCTATAGCCAGAGCTACTTGGGAGGCATAGGTGGGAGGATCATTTGAGCCCATAAGGAGGCTGCAGTCAGCTAAGATCATGCCAGCGCACTCCAGCCTGGATGACAGAGCAAGGCCCCATTAAAAAAGCAACTTACAGCTTCTAATCAATAACAGGACTAAAGATTTTAAGTTAAACTAGAAAATGATCTGCACCTATTTATTGGGTGGAGAGGGTGTAATTTACCTTATACGAAGAGATACTCAAAAGGAAATATGGGCAAAAGACATAAATAAGCAGCTCAAGGGAAATATGAAGTAAGCTCAACATCACAAATAAAAAAAGCAATGTAAACTGAGAATGAGTTCTATTGAGTCCAGTGTTGGCAAGGGCATGGAGAAACAGACATAAATACATACGCTGTGGTGGGACTTCAAATCTTTTTTTGGAGTGCAACTTAGCAGTATCAATTATATTAAAAAATGGTCCTGCCCTTTGATACAACATTCTACTTAGAGAGTATTTCTATAGCAAAACTATGCTTTTGAAGTCAAAAAATTAGAAACCATCTAAATGTCAATCAATAAGGAATCATGGTCTACTATATAGCCATCGAAAGGAGGTAGGTGACCTTATATTATATATAATTGCTTATATTAGGCCACAAGAGCAAATTCTGAACCTATATTGCATACTCTATACTTGGCATACAAAACTACTCAACATATTTGTTTAATGAGTGATCCAATACACAGGATAAATCCTTTAGAAAACAATACATCACAATACATCAAGTGATATCCAGGGGAAAAGTTTTTGTTTTGTTTTTTGAGATGGAGTTTCCCCTTTTTTTGCCCAGGCTCGAGTGCAATAGTGAGATCTTGGCTCACTGCTATCTCTGCCTCCTGAGTTCAAGTGATGCTATCTTGCCTCAGTCTCCTGAGTAGCTGGGTTCTTACAGGTGCATGCCACCATGCGTGGCTAATTTTTTATTTTTAGTAGAGACAGGGTTTCACTATGTTGGGCCAGGCTGGTCTCGAAGTTCTGACCTCAAGTGATCCACCGGTCTCAGCCTTCCAAAGTGCTGGGATTACAGGCGTGAGTCACTGCACCTGGCTGGGGAAAGGTTTATTATATGGGAGAAGGGGTGTGTTTTTAACATTATGTGTAAAATTATATATACAATTATATATATATTACAAAATTATAAAATATATAAATCATATGTATATTTTATCAAATTATATAATTATATAATTTTACACACAAACACAATATATATACACACACATGTATGTAGTTTTACAATTTATCACACTACCAATTAGAGTATTTGTGCCTAAGTAACAGCAAGAACAAAAGGCAGGAGGATCATTTGAGGTCAGGAGTTCAAGACCAGCCTGACCAACATGATGAAACCTTGTCCCTACTAAAAACATAAAAATTAGCCAGGGATGGCGGTGCATGCCTGTAGTCCCAGCTATTTAGGAGGCTGAGGCAGGAGACTCGCTTGAACCTGGGAGGCGGAGGTCGCAGTGAGCCAAGATCGCACCACTGCACTCCAGCCTGGGCGGCAGAGCAAGACTCCATCTCCAAAAAAAAAGGGAAAGAGTAAGCATGTCATGATCAGTTAAACCCTTAGGTTATGGCCTAAAAATAGGATATAATGAATCAACTCATTGGAACTTAGTTTCTATACATATAGGGAGTGCCATGGTTAAGTCATTTCTACCACTTTAAACCTAAAAAGGGTAATTTAAGTTAGTGTTTCTCAACCTTTTTTTCACTACTGCTCCTCTAAGAAATCTTTTAAGAACTACCCCTTCCCCACCAGTCCCACGAAATTTTAATACCATAGATATCCTATGTACTTTGTGCACATCTGTGCTTTAGACAATCAACCAGTAAGATTATTTACACCTACTCACACACATAAACCAATTTTCACCTCTTTAGGGGTAGTTATCTCCCATCTTAAGAATGTACAGCAATATGGACGGGCGCGGTGACTCAAGCCTGTAATTCCAGCACTCTGGGAGGCTGAGGTGGGTGGATCACATGAGGTCAGGAGTTCAAGCGCAGCCTGGCCAACTTGGTGAAACCCTGTCTTTACTAAAAATACAAAAACTAGCCAGGCGTGGTGGCAGGTGCCTGTAATCCCAGCTACTCAGGAGGATGAGGCAAGAGAATCGCTTGAACCTGGGAGGCAGAGGTTGCAGTGAGTGAGGATCACGCCACTACACTCCAACCTAGGCAACAGAGCGAGATTCTGAACAAAAAAATAAAAAATAAATCAAGAATGTACAGCAATAATATATAGTATATTTCTGCTTCTTTCAATTGCAGAAATCCTCCCCGCCAGCACCAGCTGAGAAAAGTTTATTGTGAAGGTACAGAACTAAGGATGTGTTAAATATTTCTTCTGATATCTACAACTCTAATATAAATATCTACCATTGCAAACTCAGGCTTTCCTCAAGCTTAAATATTGTTTCTAAAGTCACAGTTTATCAAACTGGATATAACTTTTATAATTCAAAAACATAAAAAGATTATGACCCACACATCTTTACTTCTTTCACGTTTAAGATTCCTACCTCCTTTCTCACTGTCGTAGTGTGACGCATCAAACTGAGCATCATCATTAGGGAGTTGCACACTGGCTATAACAAGATGGTTTTGTTCATCCGATGTGTGTGTCCCCAGGACAAGTCGATGAATGCTGAAATCTTTCCCTTCTGGTCTGTAACGGCAACATATGGTCACTATTCAAATTAGTAACATCAGGAGACCGCGAGGTCAACAATATACGTGTACGTAAAAGTCACTACTACACAATCAGGTTTTAAGAGAGGGGAAAAGTCATTAAGAGTCTTTTCTTCTCTCTCTCTCTCTCTTTTTTTTAAAATAAATAGTCTCACTCCTTCGCCCAAGCTGGAATGGAGTGGTGCGATCTTGGCTCACTTCAACCTCTGGCTCTTGGGTTCAAGTGATTCTCACACCTCAGCCTCCCTAGTAGCCGGGACTACAGGAACCCGCCACCATGCCTGGCTAATTTTTGTATTTTTAGTAGATACGGAATTTCACCATGTTGGCCAGGCTGGTCTCAAACTCCTGGCCTCAAATTTTCCACCCACCTCAGCCTCCCAACGTGCAGCAATTACAGGCAAGAGTTACCGTGCCTGGCCAAGAGCCACATTTTCTACTTAATTACTCTGGAGAAAAAGTAAAACGTTTAATGGATAAAATGGGAATTAACTACTCACTCACTACCAACAGGTTGGAGGGAAAGCAAACCATTGTTGGGTATGCTAATAATTTTGCTCACTAAAATTTTTCATTGAAAAAAAGGGGAAAGGGTGCAAAGAAACTGAAAAGAAAAAATGAAAAAAGGGAAAGAAGACGAAATAACATTAAGTAAACCAATTTACCAAATATTTACTAACTGCCTAATCAATGGACACATGGCTCCAAACGTAATGTAAGTACAAAGAAGATTAAGACACAATTCCCGACCTCAAAAAACCTGCGGCTGGGCTAGGCACGGCGGCTCACGCCTGTAATCCTAGTACTTTGGGAGGCCGAAGAAGGTGGATCACCTGAGGTCAGGAGTTCCAGACCAGCCTGACCAATATGGTGAAACCCCATCTCTACTAGATACAAAATTTAGCTAGGCATGGTGGCAGGTGCCTGTAATCCCAGCTACTCAGGAGGATGAGGCAAGAGAATGGTTACTAAAATACTACCAAATTAGCTGTGTGTAGTGGCGGTGACTATAGTCCCAGCTACTAGGGAGGGTGGGACAGGAGAACTGCTTGAACCTAGGAGTTAGAGGTTGTAGCGAGCCAAGATGGCGCCACTGCACTCCAGCCTGGGCAAAAGAGCAAGACTCTGTGTCAAAAAACAAAACAAAACAAAAAACAAACAATTGGCAGCTGGCTAATCCCAGCTACTCGGGAGGCTGAGGCACAAGAATTGCTTGAACCTGAAAGGTGGAGGCTGCAGTGAGCAGAGATCATGCCACTGCACTCCAGCCTGGGTGACACAGAAAGACTGCCTCCTGTCTCAAAAAAACAAAAACAAAAACAAAAAACCAAAGAAAGAAAAGAATGAAAAGGAAAGGAAGAAAATTAAACAACGTGCCTAAGATCACACAGCTACTAAGTAACAGAAGTATGCTGAAGTCCAAATCTGACTTCTGATATGGGAGAGCACAGTGGGAGAGAAGGCCGATTAAAATGGACTTTATTTAGTGTCCTGAATGCCGTCTTAAGGCATTCTGGACTCCATACTGGGTCAAGGGCATCCACATCATCTGGGAACTTGTTAGAATGCAAATTCTCACATCTACTCCAGACCCATTGAATCAGCAACTCTAGAAGGTGGGGCACAACTATCTATCTCACAATACCTCCAGCTGATTACAATGCATATAAAATTTTGAGAACCCCTGGTCTAGATGGGAAAGATCCTACACAAGCAGAATTCATTGGGGTTTATAAATTGACTGCCTATAAAATGGAGAAAGGGAAAATGTCAAACCAAAACCAATTATGATGAAAAGAAACAGGAACAGTAGGAGAGAAAGTTGGGGTAAGGCCTTCATAGAAGGAGTAATTCCATTTACAACATGTCAAACTGAGGAAGCCAGTAAGATATACCAGGGAAGATACTGGCAGGCAGAAGAAAAATCAGGAAAAGCTCCAGAGAAATTAGGTCTAAAGATATCAATAGGAATTCTTCTGCACAGATGTCACAGGCAAAGCTTTGAGAGCATCTACCTTACACTGAAAAGAGGGATATGAACAGAAAATTGTAATTACCTGTATGTAGATGGTTAGACAAAGAACCAGAAAAAGAATGAAGGAGAAGACAGTGTTACAGAACTACAATTGTGGTTTTTCTTTTTTTAAAAGGGGGAAATGGATATGAATAAACACCAGAAAAAGAACACACACAAAAGTAAACACTGCATCAGGGCTGCTTGCTTGTAAGCAATCCTTATCTTAAACAACAACAACAAGGCCAAGGTGGCTCATGCCTGTAATCCCAGCACTTTGGGAGGCCAAAGTGTGAGGATCACTAGAGCCCAGAAGTTGAAGAACAGCCTGGGCAACATAGCAAAAAATTTTTCAAAAATTAGCTAGGCGTGGTAGCGTGTGCCTGTAGTCTCAACTATTCCAGAGGCTGAGGCAGAAGGATCCCCTGGCCCAGAAGGTCAAGGCTGCAGGGAACTCTGATTGTGCCACTGCAACCCAGTCTGCGCAACAGAGCAAGATCCTGTCTCAAAACAATTTTCGGCCAGGTGCAGTGGCTCACGCCTGTAATCACAGCACTCTGGGAGGCTGAGGCAGGTGGATCACCCGAGGTCAGGAATTTGAGACCAGCCTGGACAACATGGTGAAACCCCCTCTACTAAAAATACAAAAAATTAGCTGGGCATGGTGGTGGGTGCCTGTAATCCCAGCTACTTGGGAGACCGGGGGAGGAGAATCGCTTGAACCCGGGAGGCGGAGGTTGCAGTGATCTGAGATCGTGCCACTCCACTACAGTATGGGTAACAAGAGTGAAACTCCGTCCTTCATGTCAAAACAACAACAAAAAACCAATTCTCACATTATTTATATAGATTTGCTAATGCAGAAAACTACTAAGATGACAGCACAGATTTCAGCTTTGGGGAATTAAGTCTTTAATTCTTGCTTTCGAAACCTAGCTAGTCAGGCGGGGTGCGGTGGCTCAAGCCTGTAATCCCAGCACTTTGGGAGGCTGAGACGGGTGGATCACGAGGTCAGGAGATCGAGACCATCCTGCCTAACATGGTGAAACCCCGTCTCTACTAACAAAATACAAAAGCAAAAGGTAGCGGGGCGACGCGCCGGTGGACCGACGGCTCAACCACCGCAACGGGACGCGCGCCCGCCCCCGCCCCCAAGCTGGGCGCCTGTGAGTAGTCCCAGCCGGCTTCGGACGGGCGAGAGCGAAGGAGGCAGGCGAAAATGGCGTAACCCGGCGAGCAGAGCTTGCGTGGCTGAGATCCGGGTCACTGCACTCCAGCCCTGGGCGACAGACACGACTCCGTCTCAAAAAAAAGAAGGAAAAAAAAAGAGACCTAGCTAGTCATTCTATTCTTGGGAGTTTTGAAGGTATGTGCGTTTAGAATGGTTTAGTAAGGGTATGGCGGGCGTGGCCTAATTTTGTGATCCCTAGTCAATGCACAATTTTAGCATTACTTATGTAATGTGGAATTGCATTTCAAGTTACATTTCTCTTAGTTTCCTGCCACAAAGGTCTTTGAGAAGGGTGGGCACTCCGTAGTCAGGGTTGGGCCGACGTAGTAGGGATTTCGCCGCTCGCGAACGTAAGCCGTTACCCCAGAGTACGGTGGTCTCCTGCCTCACCCCACGGGACTGGGATCGAGGTACACACCATGCCGTTCGATTTGCTTACTTAGTGTATTGAAATAGTGGCGAATTTTCACCTGTTGCCAGTAGTCTGATCCTTGGCCTAGCAATTGTGCCTCAGCGTCCAAAAGGTGGGATTCAGGTGTGAGTCCACGCAATGCCCAGCTCACAGCTGCCTTACAAAGTGGTTTGAAGCTTGACACTGAAAACTCCCTCTGAGCAGAAATGATTCCAATTTCCTGAACCTTCCCCAAGTCCAATTTGCTGATGTAATGAATGTGGGTGAACTCTGGTTATTGTAAATAGAGTTTCTTAGGCTGTGGTCCGTGGTCTCACGCCTGTATAATAGCACTTTAGTGGGCCGGGCGGGTGGGATACGAGGTGTAGGAGATGTGCCTCTGTGCTTGCCGAGTCGTAATCTACTAAGTGATAAAAATTAGCGGCATAGTGCGGCGGGGCTTGGGTGTGTCCAGCTACTTGGGACGGGTGTGAGGCAGGGGAATGGCCGTGACGTCCAGGAGCGGGAGTTGCGTGGCGGAGCGAGATGGCCAGCGCTGCGGTGAAAGAGTGCGGCCGTGCTGCGATTAAAAACAACATATTTATCCAATCTGTTGTTGGAGCAAAAATGTAGTAAAACTGTTTCTTGCATTGTTGGGCAGCGGTAAAAACATTCAACTGTAAAAAAAAACCCAAATTCAACTGTAAAAAAAAACTCCAAATTTCTAGTCTTTTACTATGGTTTTGTGTAACATCCCTAGGACAGATTTCTCTAGTTTTCCTTATGCCACTGTAAAGGTAGCAGCCTCATTCTTAGATTACTAGTATAATTTCTGCCAAATTTCTATTATTTGTTGAGCTGCATCATAGTCTAATAACATTTTGCAATTATCTTGACTTTTAAAGATCTGAGTTTTGAAGGAATTTAGTTACTTAGCACACAATCGCTTTTGAATGTTATTCGAAAAACTCAGGTAGTTTTGTAACAGAAAATCCATTATTTCAAATGGCGCAATGGTCTTGTTAAAACTTTATGTTAGTATCATCTAAATCTCTTCCTCTTTGTTTTCTGCATTGTCATTTCTTCCTAGAAGCCTTTCCTGATACTCCAATTGGGCAAATTTTCCTTCCTCTGATAATTTTCTGTGCCACTTTTATGCTAATTATAACTAATTTGGATCCCCTGAAATGTGGCACCTAATACAGCCCAATAAATGCAAACTAAATATTTTATCCCCTCTATCAGAGATAAGCTGCATGTAAAAAACATGGGATTAATCTTTATAGCGCTCACTATGCCCAAACCCCTTATAAGAAAACCATTCCACTTTCAGGTGTTTTCTAGGTACCCTAATTATCTCTCTACAACTGCTGTCATCATATATAATTATTAGTTTGTATCTGCCACTTCAACTAGACAATGTGCTCCCTGAAGGCAGGTACCATGACATACTATGAGAATTCAAACTAAGTTTTGTTGAGACCAGATTCAGTGGCTCACGCCTGTAATCCCAGCACTTTGGGAGGCAGAGGCGGGCGGATCACCACAGGTCAGGGGGTTGGAGACCAGCCTGTCCAACATGGTGAAATTGCGTCTCTACTTAAAATACAAAAAAAATTAGCCAGGAGTGGTGGCAGGTGCCTGTAATCCCAGCTATTTGGGAAGGCCGAGGCAGGAAAATCGCTGGAATCTGCGAGGCAGAGGTTGCAGTGAGCCGAGCTCGCGCCACTGCACTCCAGCCTGGGCAAAAGAGAGAGACTCCGTCTCAAAAAGAAAAAAAAAAAAGTTTTGTTGTAAGGACTGGACTCATGGTAATACTTTTTTCTTTTATGGGGTGGGGGGCGGTAGAGACGGGGTTCTATGCTCCCAGGGCTGGTCTCCAACTCCTGGCCTCAAGTAAGCCTCCTGTCTGGGCCTCCCAAGGTGCTCGGATTGCAAGGGTGAGCCACTGCTCCTGGCCATAATAGTTTTTGAAAGTTGACAAGTTTTGTACTATTATTTGGTACAGCTATTATTATTACAGGTATTATCATCAACTACAGCCATTCAATTCAGTATCAGAGAAAGAAAACGCCAATGTTTTCTCTTGTCAGGTAAATTACAAAATCATTTTGTTATTTTGCCTTTGTGGCCTAGAAAAGATGTCACCAAGAGGTTTTGATCACATGCCTTCTCCGGGTGACTGAAGAGCGGAAAACAGAAAATCAGTATGAGAAATCTACACTGAAGACACATCAAAATAACGTTCAGGAGACTCACGTCACCTTGTTACATCTGGAAGCCACTGGGCAGTTAGGCTGGGCCACTCCAGAGCATGGGTCATCACCAAATCATAAAGAAAAGGGGTGTTCTTTTTCCATATTTTGTATTCCTCGTTGATCACTCGTTCTTCCACTGCGTCGTCGAACGCTGCTAAAAATTTTTAAAACAAATTAAGTTAGCAAACAAACGGAAACTGGGTAATCCTCTGCAAAGCTACCAGCATGACTCCTACATCCTCACTGTGAAATGGAGGTGATTTGTCTAAATCCCCACGGCAGAGGTACCCACACTCCTCTCCACCTTCGCGGCGCCAGAACTCCTCGGGCCATCCCCGCCAAACACTCCGTTACCCGTTCCACGGCACCGGGCCAGGCCTTCGGAGCACGCTCGCGCGCGCTGAAACTCACAAGCCCGACTAGAAGGCCCGAGCTCCGAGCCTTGTGGTAGGAAGCGGTGTCCCGAGGCTCGGGACAGAGGCCGAGAGACCGATATCGAGGGCAGGAGGAGGAACAAACAACCGCCGAGAGCCCCACCGCCAGATTCGCCAGCGGCGACGGACGTCGGTCCCAGGGAACCTGCGAGCCGTTAGCCCGCCCCGCGGGGAGTTCCCTCTTCACGCCTTCGGTACCGGGAACTGCACTCGGCAAACTCGGGCCTGCCCTCACTGTTAGGCCGTGTCGAGGCCGCGGCTCAGCCCCGGCACCCGCTGCCCTCCTGGGGCGGCCCCGGAACCCTCACCTTCCTTGTCGGCCATGGCGGGCAGACGAGCCGGGGGAACCCTGGGGTCGAGCGTTGCGGGAGGGGCGGGGAGGCAGCAGGCGCTCGCTCTGCGCGCGCGGCCTCTATTGTTTCCTGCGCCCCCAGCGCGAGGGCCGACTCGCGCACCTTCGCGCCAACATCAGCCAATCGGAGCGCTCCTAACGGCGGGAAGGGCGGGGAAGCCGCGCTTGCGACCTATCCAGACGCGCGGAGTAGCTTTCCGCGGGGACCGAGGCGCGCGCTCCGCCCCTCCCCCAACACCTCCCGCCGCCGACTTCTAGCGACTGCGCGCGACAGCGTTGACGGGACTGCGCCTGGCCAGGGTCACGTGAGAGAGGTTTAGTCCACACACTCCCGCGGCCCGAGGGCAGCCATTTTCTTGAAGGCTGTTAAGCTTACAACCCTTTCAGAGTACTGAGATGAAAAATATAGAATTACTTCGGGTCTAATTATCAATTTTGGGGGTGAAGCGGGGAAAAGAACCTCGCCACTCAGAGCCAGAGGGGTTTCATTCAAGGTGCCCTTCAACGTTTTCCCTTAGTCTTTAGAAGGAACTAGTAATGAAGGGAGCGCAGAAGATGGGGTTTTGGCCCTTTAAACATGTGATCCAAGCAACAGGGTAGGGACTAAAGCAGGTTAGCGGCCAACTCCGAGAACAGAGTGTGGTCCTTTAGGGGTGTGTGCTCAGGGGCGGGGTCTAGAGCGGAAGTAGTAACTGCGGGCCGAAGTCCGGCGGATGAAGGGCGGAAGTAGAGTGTCTAATCCTGCAGTGATGGCGCAGGAAGAGGAAGATGTTAGAGATTACAATTTGACTGAGGAACAGAAGGCGATCAAGGCCAAGTATCCACCAGTCAATAGGAAGTACGAGTGTGAGTAGGTGGCTTACTTCTCTCTTTAGATGTGAGCACACAGGCATCCTCTCTCCTTACCCGCAGCTTCCTGCTACTCTTTCTCCTTTGCCCCATAGGTACTTCAAGCGTGATCCCATTTGTGCCGGGTGTTAATAGTCTCATTCGTACTTGTCCTGGGGATGCTGAAGGAAAAAGCCACCTGGTTTAATAGTCGCGAAACCTGGCCTCTCTCATTTACAGTCTCTTGAACTTCTTCCACATGTGCCTAATCACATTTATCTTCGTAAATTCTAAAGATAACCATATTTTCAGGCGTTTGCAGGGTTGTTACTCCCATGTATTTCCCAACGGTGAGATAGAGTGTGCCAGGTTAGAGGACGCGGAAAGCTAATTAGGGGATTTCTAACTTGATGTTTCACCTCGATCATATTAGCAAAAAGACCTGGTTTTGCCATTTATGATTGCGATTTTTAAAAATGATTATTTTTACGTCGGGCGCGGTGGCTCACGCCTGTAATCCCAGCACTTTGGGAGGCCGAGGCGGGCGGATCACCTGAGTTTGGAAGTTCAAGATCAGCCTGACGAACATGGAAAAAACCCGTCTCTACTAAAAATAAAAAATTAGCTCCGTGGTGGCGCATGCCTGTAATCCCAGCTACTCGGGAGACTGAGGTAGGAGAATCGCTTGAACCTGGGAGGCGGAGGTTGCGGTGAGCCGAGATCGTCCCATTGCACTACAGCCTGGGCAACGAGCGAAACTGTCTCAAAAAAAAAAAAAAATACATATATATATATATATATATATATATGTTTTTAGAGATGAGGTCTCGCTCTGTCGTCCAGGCTGGAGTGCAATGGAGCGATCATAGCCCGCGCTGCAGCGCCCAGCTGGTTTTGCCATTTATTCGCTTAGTGACTTTAGGCAAATCACATAACCTATCTTCGTCTCTTAAATTCTATATTAAACGTTAAGCTGTCATCCCTAAAGGTAGCTGTGGTTTGGGGAGCACAAATCTGACTTTTATATATCTGCTTAAAAACTTTCATTAATTTCTCATTGTCCTCTCTGTAAAATCTGTTTATTTACCATAGTATTCTAGGCTCTGTGCTTTCTGGACCTGGCATACCTCCTAGCATATCCCCTTCTCTCACTTAAAAACAATTTTAAAATATAGGCCGGGCGCAGTGGCTCACACCTATAATCCCAGCACTTTGGGAAACCGACATGAGTGGATCCCCTGAGGTCAGAGTTCCAGACCAGTCTGGCCAACGTGGTGAAACCCCGTCTCTACTAAAAATGCAAAAATTAGCTGGGCATGATGGTGGGCGCCTGTAATCCCAGCTACTCGGGAGGCTGAGGCAGAAGAATTGCTTGAACCCAGGAGGTGGAGGTTGCAATGAGCTGAGATCACAGCACTGCACTCCGGCCTGGGCAACAGAGCGATACTGTCCCCCGCCCCCCCCACAAAAAAAAAAGATTGGATGCTGTGGCTCACGCCTGTAATCCCAGCACTTTGGGAGGTTGAGGCGGGTGGATCACCTGAGGTCAGGAGTTTGAGACCAGCCTGGCCTGGCCAACATGGTGAAACCGCATCTGTACTAAAAATGCAAAAATTAGATGGGCATGTTGGTGGGCGCCTGTAATCCCAGCTACTTGGGAGGCTGAGGCAGGAGAATTGCTTGAACCCGGGAGGCGGAGGTTGCCGTAAGCTGAGGTTGCACCATTGCACTCCAGCCTGGGTGACAGATCTGGGCCACAGAGCCTGACTCTGTCTCAAAAAAAACCAATTATTTTTAATAAGTCATATATATTGATTCGAAATTCAGAAAGTGTAACGTAACGCAGTGAAAAGTAACTCTGGCAGCCCCCATCCCCAACCACCTAGTTCCCCTCTGTAGGGCAGTCATCGTTACCTTTTTCTTACATGTACATACCTAGATGTTCTAGCATTTACTTTAACCAGTTTTCAGTTGATGGATGTTTAGGCTATTTTTACTCTTGTGGTATTAGAAACAGTGCAGCAGTGAATACACTTGTACATCCATTGTTTTGTACATGTGCAAGTGAATCTGTAGAATCAAGTTCTCCAAGTTAAATTGCTTTGCCAAAGGATATGTGCGTTTTTTTTTGTTTCCGTTGCTAAGACTCATACGTTTTTTAAAAGGATATTTTAACTTAGACAGTTATTGCCAAATTGCTCTCTATAGAAGTTGTACCAATTTATACTTTCACTAGTATTATGTGAATGTGCCTCTTTCCTCCCACTTTTACCGTTACCATACTTTTTGGCCTTTTCCAATTTATAAAGTATACTTACTGTATTTTTCTTATTGTAAGTGAAGTTGAACATATTATAGTGTTTTGGAAGCTATTTGTATTTCCCATACTGGGGTGTGTGTGTTAATATTCTTAGCCCTTTTTTCTCTTGGGTTATTTTTTTTTCTCTTGGGTTACTAGTTTTTCTTACTAGGCAGATAGTATTGTTATGCAGTGCAGCTCATTAACCTGTGGTCCCCAACTTTTTTGGCACCAGGGACTGGTTTCACGGAAGTCAGTTTTTCCACCAATGGGTGTTGTAGGGGAGTATGGTTTCAGGATGATTCAAGTGCATTACATTATTGTGCATTTTATTTCAGTTTTATTACATTGTAATATATAATGAAATAATTATACAGCTCACTGTAATACAGAATCAGTGGGCGCCCTAAGCTTGTTTTCTTGCAACTAGGTGGTCCCATATGGGGGTGACAGATCATCAGGCTTTAGATTCTCATAGGGAGCACACAACCTAGATCCTTCCAATGTGCAGTTCACAATAATGTTCAAGCTCCTATGAGAATCTAATGCTGCGCCTGATCCAAAAGAAGGTGGAGCTCAGGCAGTAATGTAGGCAATGGGGAGTGGTTGTAAATATAGAAGAAACTTTGTGAGCTCATGTCCTGCTATGCTGCCTGGATCCTAACAGGCCACCAACTGGTACCAGCCTGGTGGTTGGGGACCCCCTGCATTAAGCCTTTCTTTTTTTTTTTTTTTTTTTTTTTGAGACGGAGTCTCGCTTTGTCATCCAGGCTGGAGTGCAGTGGCACGATCTCCAGTCACTGCAACCTCCGCCTCCCAAGTTCAAGTAATTCTCCTGCCTCAGCCTCCTGAGTAGTTGGGATTACAGACATGCATCACCACACCGGGCTAATTTTTTTTTCTTTTTTTTTTTTTGAGATGAAGTTTCGCTCTTGTTGCCCAAGCTGGAGTGCAATGGTGCGATCTCAGCTCACTGCAACCTTTGCCTCCTGGGTTCAAGCAATTCTCCTGCCTTAGATCCCAAGTACCTGGGATTACAGGCACCCGCCACCAAGCCCGCCTAATTTTTGTATATTTAGTAGAGAGGAGGTTTCACCATGTTGACCAGGCTGGTTTTGAACTTCTGACTTCAGGTGATCCACCCCCCTCGGCCTCCCAAAGTGCTGGGATTACAGGTGTGAGCCACTGTGTCTGGCCAACCCTTTCTTTTTTTCTTTTCTTTTTTTTTTTGAGACAGTGTCTTGCTCTGTCTCCCAGGCTAGAGTGCAGTGGCACCATCTCAGCTTACAGCAACCTCCGCCTCCTGGGTTCAAGTGATTCTCTTTTTTTTTTTTTTTGAGACAGAGTCTTACTCTGTCGCCCAGGCTAGAGTGCAGTGGAGCGATCTCTGCTTACTGCAAGCTCCGCCTCCCAGGTTCACGCCATTTTCTTGCCTCAGCCTCTTGAGTTGCTGGGACTACGGGCGCCCGCCACGACGCCCGGTTAATGTTTTGGTATTTTTAGTAGAGATGGGGTTTCACTGTGTTAGCCAGGATGGTCTTGAACTCCTGACCTTGTGATCCACCCGCCTCGGCCTCCCAAAGTGCTGGGATTACAGGTGTGAGCCACTGTGCCTGGCCTGAAGTGATTCTCTTGCCTCAACCTTCTGTATGACTGGGATTACGGGCGCCCACCACCACGCCTGGCTAATTTTTGTGTTTTTTTAGTAGAGACAGGGTTTCACCATGTTGGCCAGGATGGTCTTGAAATCCTGACCTCAAGTGATCCGCCCACCTGAGCCTCCCAAAGTGCTGGGATTACAGGCATGAGCCACCACGCCCAGTCAAGCCTTTCTTTTATGGCTTCTAAGATAAGATGTCATACTCAGGGAAGGCCTTGTCCACTGAGATTTTAAAATAATTTTCCTATTTTGTTTCTATACATTTGAAAAGAAAACTTTCATTGAATAACCTGTGGCCAGGCCTGGTGGCTCACACCTGTAATCCTAGCACTTTGGGAGGCCAAGGTGGGTGGATCTCTTGAGGCCAAGAGTTGGAGACCAGCCTGGCCAACATGGCGAAATGCCATTTCTACTAAAAATATAAAAATTAGGCCAGGCACCGTGGCTCATGCCTGTAATCCCAGCACTTTGGGAGGTCAGGAGATCGAGACCATCCTGGCCAACATGGTAAAACCCTGTCTCTACTAAAAATACAAAAAAACATTAACTGGGCGTTGGACTTGGCAATGTACCTGTAAGTCCCAGTGTGAATTCCGGGAGTCAGAGGGTTGCAGATGAGCCAAGATCACGCCCATTGCACTTGCAGCCTGGGTGACAGACTGAAGAAACTCTGTCTCAAAAAAATAAATCAGAATGAATAAAATAAAATAAAAATTAGAAACAGGAAATGGTTGGTGGTTGCATCGCCTTGTAAATCCCAGCTAACTAGGGAGGTGACGAAAGAGAATGCTTTAAAAACCCAGGAATTGGAGTTTGTTTTTGGACCCCGAGAATGGCACCTATTGCAGGTCCAAAGCGTGGGCAACAAGAAGTGAGACTCCTGTCTCAGAAAAAGGTAAAAATGAAGGCTGGGCTTTCCAGTGGCGTCACGCTGTAATACCCAGCCCCTTTGGGAGGCCGAGGCAGGTGATTCAATGAGATCAGGAGATTAAGACCATCTGGCTTAAACCGGTGAAACCCCGTCTCTACTAAAAATACAAAAAATTAGCCGGTTGTGGT